CGTGTTCTAGTAATGACTTACAAGTCTTACACGTACTGTCTATGATACAAGGCCAGTACTGTGCATCGATGTTCGGCGGACTGTGGAGGTTTCAAACCTACTTGAGACTGTGTAATATTCTATGATAAACAATCCCCGTATGCACATTGCATGTTCAGACAAACTCTATAATTTGCAGACAACCCTTATATGTGACAATTTTTATTTCAGGTTCGACACGTAAATATGCTTCCAAGTGAACACAGGCTTGCTGTACCCGAGGACGGTTCCTATACGGAAGACTTGATACAAGAAGACGACGATACGTGGGACGATTGCCCTGAGAAGCCGGAGGAATTGCGTTACGGGATTGATGTCGCACAAAGGAATGATATTGGCTCTTTTTTCAAGTTTTTTCTTCGCCTTGAGTTTCATCAGTGCCAAGCTGGTGACCACGGTACATCCTCTAGAGAAGACGTTAATTCGCATGGTGATTCAGCTGTCCTGTGCTACCCCAAGTATTCTCTGCAAAAACGTTTCTTTCTTTGGACCAAAAAACTTCTCTTATAAATGGCTGATTCTACGAAGCCTCTTCGGGAGTTTTCGGATCACGTGCACCTTTATCGCCATAAATTTGATGCTCGTAGGAGACGCTGTCGTGATATTCTCCGTCAACCCTATTTTCACGGCTTTTTTAAGCTGCTGTTGTCTCAAAGAATCCGTTCAATCCGTCGACTTTCTTTTTGCGCTTGTCAGCGTAGCGGGCGTTGTTGTTATCACGAAACCGCCTTTTATGTTTTTTGAAGTGAACGCGATGACTACTAGCACCTCCGTCGACAGTTCACTGATTGGGGCCGGCGTTGCTTTAATTGAAGCATTGCTTGCATCAATGGTGTTTGTTTCAAGTAGAAAAATAGGAAAAGAAATGAACTTTTTAGCGATCTTGTTTTACTATTCAATTTGCGGAATAGTCACTACACTATCACTTCTGTATATTTTAGATGCGTTTTCATTGCCTGCTTCACTCAATGAAGGGATTTTCTTAGGACTTGTGGGATTCTTTGGATTCGTCGGGCAACTTTTTCTGACATCGTCGCTGCAATGCGAGAAGGCCGTCAACGTGGCAATTGTGCGAACAATGGACATCGTCTTTTCATACGTTTTACAATACATGTGGCTTGGACAGAAGTCAGAATGGTCAGCTCTAGGCGGCGCTATTCTTGTGATGATTTCCAGCGCAGGTATTGTAATAAGACAAACATATTACGGAAAGAAAAACAAAGCAGAACTTTGAAAAACGTAATCGTAGCAGGAACGCAATTTGGACAAATATAAGTTACTCAACATAACTAACGTCTGGAGATTAAAAAGGAAAGAAAAAAGGGAGCGCCATACCTTGCTACTCCCAGGGGTGAACTTATCGCTCCATAAACGTATGGGAAACTAGCGAAATATAATGAAGACAATCAAGTTTGTACGTACCCAAGATCGTATATGAGACTATAAATCGGATAAGATAAAAAAAAATAATAACACAAACAAGCTGGTTATTCATGATGAATATAATGTATTCGTTTTGTGACTCATAACACATCGTCTTAAAGTTCAAGCCACTATCGGTGGTACTGGGGAAGACAGAATGAAATGGAGAATCTAACAGGTGAACCGTCGTGAAGACGACATAAAACTACGTAGCATTATATCATATAGATATCCTTTTGGAGCGTGCAGTGAACCTTCTCTGCAAATATTCCTCTTGCTTCTATCAGAAATAAAAGTATCCATTTTTAAGTCTCAGTTTCGTCATTGTCTGAATCACACTGTTTCGCAAGCTCGATGTAAAGATACGAATATAGTACTGAGGCGATGACGGAATAAACGAACTTTGGTTGTCCAAGATGTTCGAAAACTAGAACTTCTGGATTTGTCTCCGTCATTGCGTGTACCTACCAGTTCAAAATGTATCTCGAACATACCCGGACAGATTACATCTTGTCCATTCTTATTACGATCTGCTAGTCGGCTATTATCAAATATTTCTTTCATTTCAGAACCAGACGTGTACGATCGAATTTTGTTCTTGGTACATACATTGAACGTTATGAACTGTTTGTGTTTTCAGATCGAATTCAACATGATCGTCTAGTGATCACTCTGTTTTAATGATGCTGTTCCCGATCCATAACTTTCACACTGACCGACTTTAATCACACTGTATACATACAAATCATGTCACACACGTTCACATGCATTTGTTTATCGACATGAATCAATACAACACAATATTGACAATAATGAAGTTCAGGCATTTCTGCAATTCCGGGCACACATTTCTTTCAAACTTTGTACATACAATTGACATTCTAGAACCTTTATGCACGTTTTTTCTCACAGATCACATTCAAAATAGCTCACTAGTGGGTATTTTGTTCGTTTTTTTTCCAGAGACGCATTTCTGACATGCCTTGACTAATTGCAATAAAACCATACACCTACATTATAAATCCTAACACTGTCCAAGTGAATTTGCGTTTATGTTTAAACCATTCCAGTTTCATTTACTAATAAACAGGACTGGGTTATATCCTCAGTTTAATGTTACAGTACTTTTCACCTTAACAGATTTGTAATTTATAATTGCTTAATAATATGGTGTCCATATAACAATTTAACACACTTGGAATGGCCATTGGCAGTTATGTAAAGTGGAAAAAGTTGATAATCAATTTCTACTGTATTGAGTACGAGGAGGCCAACACTTTTTTGGTCTTTCATGGTTTGTTTAGACATAGCAGCCTCATACGGCAAAAGTCTTGCACTATCGTTATGTCATAGTTCCAAGTTCAGAGGGAACCACATGTCACAATCTGTTGTTGAAACTAATTTTGGCAACAACAAACAATACTCAACCAATACATCAGAAACTAATTACCAGGTTTTTCCAGGCTTGATGTACTATCCTATAAAGTTGGTAAAAGCGTAGACTGGCACAGTCTGGGCGATTTATTTTTAAATTTAAAATTAAATAAAAAAAAATTAGCGAAATAGAGGTGTTAACTCAAAATCCCCTGTAATCGTGATATCTCCCAGATCGGACGTTTTTGCCACGCCCTCTGTGGTGAAAGCTGGGACTAGTGTGTTTTCATACAAGTTTTTATGCTAATGAGCAGAATGACAGCCAAGAATGTTGTCCAATCAGAGTAATTTGATCTTTAAACTTTATCCAGTTAACATTTTTACCTGAAGACTTCACTTTTCTTCAAGTTTCTCGATAGTCAATCATCCCAAACGAATTACTATTTATAACGTTCTGAACAAATTATTCTAATAAAGAGAAGTAGCCTGCGTGTAGCTTTATCTCGCCTGGGTTACCGTGAAGTGCGATCTGCACAGAAGACAATAATTGATGGTTTTACTGATGAGACGACGTTTTCGTTGCCCTTCCGAGCGGAAGCGGCAAATCGATTGCATTTGAAGTTGCTCCGTTTTGTTTAGACGAAAAACAGTTTGGCACTGTCGAATCAGATAACTTGAAAACCATAGTAATTGTCATTGCTCCTTTGGTTGCGTTGATGCAAGAGCAAGTATCAAAGCTGCAGAAACTTGTGTTATTTTCATGCAAAAATGAACACTATACCAGACGACATTCAGCAAGGTAACTACAACTGGGTACTAAGATTCAGCAGTCCGGAAACAATTCTAGCTCGCAGAAAACTGTTACTCTCCAAAAAATACAATGTTTAGCTCATTATGCAGCGTGCACGCCCCACTCCTTTTTTCAGTGATGTCACTGCACATCATGAATAAATAATAGAAACAGATTAGCTGCAAAACTATTTTTTCCAATTTTTTTTTTTAAATCACCACAGCTGGGCCAGTCTAGTAAAAGCGTAAAAAGGGGTTACCGTTCTATGAGGAAATTGTACAATACAAAGGGGCATATTCATCTAAAAAAAGTATTGACAATGTGTGAAAATTGGTAGAAATTTGATCGCGTTGTGTGGGCATTCACAAAAACAATTGTAACTGGTATAGCAAAATAGTTTTACACAATTATGCAAGAATTACTACTTATTTGGTAATTTAGCATGCTTTATATAGTTGATAAAGAGGGGGGTCAGAAAATCATGCTGATTTCTACAGACTTTTATACATTACAAAACAATCGGATAAAAATCAAATGCGCATATATCTCTTGTGTGAATCATCTCAAATTACCTGACCAACTACCTATGCAATTCATCTCAGATCTGTAAGTATCAACAACCAATTCAAAATAGTGTTACAGGTGGCTTACGAGAAAGGCACGCCCCAATTGGTTGAACAATCCTGCTAGAAGACAGCTGAGTGAACAAGACCAAAGTGAAAATCAAATTCAAACATTGCATAACTACCACTTCAAGTTAAAAAATACAAACATAGAATGAAAACAAAAAAGATTTATTTCCCCACTTAACAAAAATCACTGAATGGTAATTATTTAACATATCGACAATATGCTGTAATCGTTTTATTCGTGCTAGCTTAAACAGTATAAGCTAGCTAAATGAAATTGAGTGAAAATACATTTTACAACAAATTACTCAAGACAAAGATGCAGCGATGAATAAAAGACTAAATACCATATCAGTGTTATCAGACTGTTATCACAACTTATTGTCCTAAACACTTGCACCAAGTCTTTTACATACATTTTTTTTTTTTGTCCAAAAGTTGAAAATGTGTTTATAAAGGTCAGTGTAACTGGATTCACTCCTTGGGGAACAATTCACAATAGAAAAGAGGAATTACACCAAGTCTTTGTGATATGACAGAGTGGGAAAAATGTATGCTCATGAGGGGGTTGGGTACCTGGATCTGCTGCAATTAATGGAATGAAGGTTAAAACGTTTATGATGCCATGTCATCTGTCTGTGCTGGTATATTAGGTAAATCATGTACACCATCCTTGTCTATTATCCGAACTTTAAATGTTGGTAGGCTAACAATAAATCTCTTCTTTATCTGGAAATACAAAACACATAATATAAATATGCTGACAGCCATTCTGAAATGCTCAGGATGGTAGAAGAGGAAACAATTATCATTGAAATTCACACATTTTTAGGAGAAAATGTTGAAGAGGGAATTACAATAGCTAGCAATCTGCAAACAAACTTACTTCATCAATACAGAGGCTGAGAAGTTGAACTGCTTCATCTCTAGAAAGACCTGAAAGATTTCAAAGATAATTAATAGTAAAACAGGTGATGTATATACAATGTATAAGATATAACACACCTTATAAAGTATAGTAATTCATGAAGGCACCCAAGGAACCTTGATGCTCAATGAACTTGCATTGTACACGCTATTTTATTAATTTTGTTTTTGAAAACGGGTGTCATATAGTCTCAAATATGAAGTTCAAGCACTGAAAACTTTAAAACAGAGGAGTCGTCACCTGTGCATACACGGGAATTGAGTCCCAAGCGATGGTAACACATGATACAAATGCAAAGACTCCTGGGCAAATGCTTGTTAGTGAACAACAACACGCTATGGTTGTCTGCCGCATGCTAGGTGACAACACTTTGACTACCGTGATTTGTCACCTGACAATTTTGGTGCAACATTTGCATATTACAGTGGTTTTGTCATTGAGATTGTTTATGGACGGATTAGCTACTTTGTTTCAATATATTGTGGACTACCTGCCAACTTTTGTTTACAATCTACAACAACTGTAAACAGTTTTAATTTCGTGAGCTACAAATTTTTGCGAGTCAGGAAAAAACACAAAATTTAGTAGCAGCGATAATTTTGACGGATTCCATATGCACAACTTTATTTTCACACATGACTGCCACGATAGTTGGTGATACAAGTAAGAACAAAAGACAATAAATCAGTTGTAAAATGCAGCAATGTTTTATTACTTTGTGTAATTATTATAATTTGTGTATTAAAAATTGTACATGTTTTACTCAACACTAGTTTTTTTCATAAAACGCATTTCAACTGCGTCATTCAAATTATCGGGTGCCATATTGTTCCATCATGTCATGTTAGAAATAAATGCAAATGTAAATATCAGTAATAAATATCAAAAACAAAGGGACACTTATTAAATCAGTTCAATGAATGTTCAAATTGCAATGTTGTCGATGCTTGCCTTGATTGAAGACTGCACAAATCCATCAATGATAAGTTCACGGCGGAGATCGTCATACACGCGGAGAAGCCAGTTGGCATGCAGTGGTTTCATGGTCTATAATTTGAGATCTACATTGATTTCATTGACATCTTGGCCATTATTAAGGGCTGTAGCAACTTTGTCGGCATACCACTTGTTGAATTGTTCTTTCAATCGATCTTCGAATTTCCCGTTGAATGACAAGTCTAGCGGTTGCAGCTCTGATGTGCAACTTGGAGGAACGAAGACTGGTACAATGGCGGCGTCATGAAGTTTTTGCAGAAAACTCTCGGCTTGATGAGCTCGAAACACCTCAAAAATAGCGACTACTTTCTGCTCTGCTGGGAGGTTGAGTTCATCACGGATTTTCTGCACATATGCGATGAGAATTTTATCAGCATATCGTTTCATACTGTGCTCATTACTCCAATGATTTGATGTATGGTAAATGTCCCATTCGGCGGGAAACTGAGTGTTTGGGTGGCACTGATCGGTCTTTCCTTTGTACAGCAGTTGCGGTGGCAATAAATCACCGGCCAAGGACACTGCAAATACTCTCGTTATTTCTCGCTTGTCTTCCAGGCCTATGATTGGGACTTGTCCAGTGTTCTCCCCAGGCCTCTGAAGCAACACGGTACCGTGACGCTTGGACACTCGGTCGTGATGCCTGCCCTTTGTCCGTGACGCTTGGCACTCGCCCGTGATGCTTATATTTTTGTTTACAAGTGTCAGTCTCGTCTTGCACGTATTTAAAACAATAACATGTATTGATCGATTTAGGTAATCCCACTTTTGTTAGCCATACAAAGACAGTGATAAAAACGGAAGTCTGCAATATGTTGCGAAGTCTTTCAAAGGTGCAGAGCCTCCAAATCAAAAAAAAAAATTAACTAGAGTAGCAATAATTTGCCCATTGCACGCAACGGCAACAATGTGACAAAACAAGTCACGGCGTATGTCGGGAAGATCAACCCCGATTTGCTG